GACTTTCATTCCATCTCTAGCATGCAGTCCAAATAAGAAGGGATACCTTATTCTTGGAATGAAAGTTTGCAAGTAAGATGAAAAATTTTAAAATTTAGATTGTAATTTTACTATCGAATGATTATTTAATTCTAGGAAAGTTTTCCGTTGATCGCCTGCCATGCTGGATGCTCGAGCCTCTGGTCGAAGATCCGCCGGTCCAATCGGGTAACATCGCACACAGCCTCTCTCGCCAACTCCTCTGCATCCAAAGGATGACGGACCTCCTGCGGAGCAAAGTGGCTAGGAAGACGTAGGGGCACAACAACCGGTTCGGACCCCAAATCCGTGATAACGGGCGGTGGCACACCACGCACTGCCATCTGAACCGCCTGCGATTGTCGGACCTGAGCCAAGTGCAGACCCGAAAACAGAACGACTGCACCCGACGCTGTCTCCTGGACCACACGCCGTACGTCTATAGCCCCTCGTCTCGCCGCTGTCCCGCCTGCACAGCCTCATCCACCGCCTGTGGCCGTCCCTCCACAGCAACGTCCGCTGCCTCTGCTCCACCCGGCAATGCCTCATCGACCGCCTCTGCTGCCACTCCCTCCGCAACGTCCTCTCTCGCCATCACCCCACCCTGCACACAATACCCCCTCTGTCTCTCGAAGCCTGACCTCCTCCAAGGCACGTGCGAACACCTGAGCACGCGGGTCACTCGATGCCAAAAGTCGAGCCCTCTCTCGCTCCATGATGTCGCGTGCTGCATCTGGAGACTCAGTCGTCGTCCTCTCCCTCGAAGTCTGCGTGAAAGTTTGTCCTGCCGCCTCGTCCCTTGATAGAGCCCGATCCGTCGATGTCGCCCTGCCGCAACTAGGTGGAAGGCCTATCGACAAATCAAAGTCTAAGGGGSYCCCCATCTCCRAATCCGAAATCCCAAGCCCCCTCGCCACACCCGGGGTCATACCCGCTATGACCGGATCGAGCTCCTCTGTGAGGAACTGTTGCATGAGGCGCTCGTCATCGCCCCCACGCTGCACCTTCGCCTGTGCGGCTATCTCCTCCTCCACTAGTCCTGCCACCCCCCCCTCCATTACAGCTGCCGACGGTGCCTCCTCCTCCTCCACTGCTACTGCCTCCTCCACCTCCACTGCTGCCGCTCCTCCAGCTTCTCCTCCTGCTGCTGCCACCTGCCCATCCACTGTTGCTGCTCCTCTTGCCGCCGGTGCCTCCTCCTCCAGCATTGATACTGCCAACTCTTCCAGCACTGCTGCTGCTGCTGCTGATGCTATCTTGTCCACCACGGTTGCGATCGTCGCGTCCCACCCTCCACTGCTGCTGCCGACGGTGCCCCCTCCTCCTGCAGTATCCCCGGGGAAGGTGATCGTAACCTCAGCTGCCGGACTGCCCCGCCTCTGTGGAGAAGTCCGCGCTGAGGCAAAGAGGACCCCAACTCCTTCGTGTCCGCCGTTGCCGTGGCCGGTTGAAGTGGCGAGATGGGCGATGGTGGTGCAGGACTCGAAGCAGGAGGTGGCGGCATGGATGACTCCCGCCTCGTCGGAGTGGGGGTCGTCACCCACGCCTATGTGCTGCCCGTGGAAGCGACCTCCCCGAATGGGCCCCAAAACTCCTCTCCCCCAGCATCTCCCTGTCCGCCCGGTCCGCCGCCCGTCGTGCAGTGTCTGCCCTCGTCTCCTCGGAGTCGGGATCGTCGTGCGTCTCGTTGATCTCACGGGGAATGCGGAGCGCAGGGTCATCTGGCGCCTCGGGCACTGGCTCCTCGTCCGAGTCGTCCTCCCTTGGGTAGGAACGAAAAATGCAAGCACGTTTACCGAAAACGGCATCAGCAGAGGGTGGTGCGGAGGCCCCGATGGGATCTCGGGTAATAAGCGCAACCTGACGGGCAATCTCCTCCTCCGTCATCCCCCTACGCATGCCCGTCCGCACAGGCTCCGCCTCGAGTCCTGCCTGGCAATCCAGCATGCCCTCGTCCCGCTGCCATGGCAGCACATAACCGCATCCAACCCGCCGATACTCCGTCAACCGCACAACTGGTTGCGCTTCTTCATGTGAATGCCCTCGTGGACTGCCCAGTTCCTCTCCGCTGGAGAGGCGCAAGACCACATGTGCATCACCCGAAGAGCGCACCGTTGCAACTCTGGCGCGCCCGCCCCGAACTGAGACCACCAAGACGCACACTCAATCGTCTCGCCGTCGCCGCTGCACGTGCGCCCTCGAGCACGCCGGACCTGCCGTGCTGAATGTGGAAGTGCTCAAACTGCCGACATGCAAGGATGTAGTCTGCACCCTCCAACTCGAAACCCGTCTGCGTCAGAATGTACCTCTTGGCTTGCCCCACAAGCCAAGCGTGGTACCGATCAACCTCGCCCGAAAAGTAGCGAACGTGTTGCCTGTGGGGGTTCAGTAAGAACCCTGCGTAGTGAGCCGGCCCAAGCATGTGCTGTGTGCGAGCCTGCACACGCCTGATGATCTGATCGGCGAATGACTTCCCCAAAGGGGCGCATGCGTTCGTGACACGGCGGACAAGATCCTGTGTCCACTCGATCATCAGGGACATGTATTGTCCACCACGATCTATCCGCCTAAGTAACTCCATGACGGACTGCATGATATGGACGATGGTGGCCACCATCTGCCACCATGGATCCCATCTGATATGTCGGCGTACCCAACGAGCCATGACGCACACGTCGGCGACAAGGCGGGTCGGGTAGGAGCGCATAAGTAACTCTCTTCTGATTGCAAGTAGCAGCTCCTGGCGCCCCCAGTAATCGGGTGTGAATGCAAAAACCCTGTGGAGGGTACTCAAAATTGCCCCGATTTTGACCTTCTTAGCCTAATAAGAGCCATAGTCCCGAAAACAATCAAAAACCAAACGCCCCTCATGCCAAATAAAAGCATATTCTTAAAAATTGCGACTGTCCTCATTGAAGTCCCAACCCGATGAATGTGCACCCCTGCAAAGGACCAAATATCCTGCGACATATCCGTTCGGACGAGACGCAAAGCCGACCCGTAACACTGGGCAAAACGATGAAGCAAAAGGCACGCCATCTGTTCATCACAGTCGGAAGTGACTGCTATGAATACCGTAACATCATCAACTATCCGGAAACCTTCGAAGAGGGGCTGATTAGCACCCAAGCTATTCAAAAACTTAAACTCGGCGAAGAGCACATAATACAAGCAAGAGGGCACCTCGAAGCTTTGCCCATAGGTACGCCAATCACCTGTTGAATTAACTCCCCTGCTGAATTAATGTAAGAGAAATGAAGGTCGAAAGCTATCATATCCCGGATATTGTTGAAAGAGACAAAGGTACATTCATCCTTCTTTCTTCGAAAGTTAGTCAAACCTTCTTACCTTTCCTCGCCACATTCACCTCGCGGCAACCTTTGCTGTCAAAATAATCAAGCAACCACTCAACGCTACGAGAGATATCCACATGTGGCAAAGACACAAACATGTCTTTAATGTCGAAATAGGCAGATAGCATGTCCCGGTACCCGGTCAGACCACGAAAATTCCGGTTCATTCGAGAGAGCCCTCGGATGACATCAGGAACAACTTTGAGATTGAAGCTGGAGCGAAGGGGAAGAGCAAACAACAAACAATTCAAAGCACGTGCCACACGACCACTTGMCAATCTAGTTGGCTCATTACAAGTCGGCGAAATCAGGCACCAACGTGATAAGTCCTTATGCTTAGGTAAAACATAGGCCTTGCCAAAACACCCAACTGAATTTCATTTACCTAAGGTGATAGACCTTCATACTGGAACCTCAATTTCATAGTAGTTAATACTGGAGCTTCTCCGGTCTGCGACGGTCTGAAAGGCAAATTCCAATTGAACGTCATTCACAAAGAGTGTTCATATAACATTGGGCAAATAACCAATGTATCGGAGGCGTTCCGATCCACGGGGACACATACAAAACTACGCAATCTAGCATCTCAGTTCTGCAAACTAAGCACTTCATCCTGAGGGTAACGATCCTCCTCAATCGACCAACATGTCAATAAAGCTTCCCTATCAAGTTCCCAGGAAGATCTAAGGTAGGAAGTCATTGAAAAAAGTTGTCTACCCAACTTAATCGTACCCGCCATAGGTCGGAAACATGATATATTCCTGGAATTGCAGAGTAGCACAGGCACCCCGGGAATCAGGCCAATCCAGGTTTTGACATGAAACCCCTAACGTTCCCAGTTCGGCTCAAGGTGACACCGACAGGGTGTCCGACCTCCAGAAACAGAGAACCTCTTAAAAGACCAAATATCACCCGACACCGGCACATTTTTTCGCCAAACAAACCTCAACTTTCGTTTGAGTAGATTACGCACAAATTCAGGAAAAATCGAGAATTCAATAACTTTCAGCATCAAAGAGTGCACAATAGAAGACGATACACAGTGATCATAAAAGAGACATACGAGAATCCTTCTCCTAACATCGATACCTATCGAAGTTTAGGAGCACTAGCCAAAATGCCTCGGAAGCGTGTACGGGTATCTTTAGCCGAAAAACAGCGCACCGCCTGAAACCATCGGACCAATAAGCCATTCGCCCCCCGGTTGGAACTCCTGCTTGAGATCTTTAAGAAGAAAACATTGGTTGCCAACAAAAGTTGTAGTAAGGCCGAAAATTCGACGTACCACAGACCAAGCATCCGTCCAACGATTGTCGGGTGCAACATGGATCGTAAAATCCTTAAGGCCAGAACTATAAGCCCTTCTAAACAGATTAATCAAACTAGTTGTCCAGTAGCCATCATGCACTCGAAACTTCAGAACAGAGAAAACAATCGGTCGTAGTTCCAAGACCACCCTCTTGGTACGGCAGGGTCTACTAAAAGGTTTAGCCTGTCCCAATACCCGCCGATAGTTAAGCAAAGGCGAGGAATTTCTAATCAAAAGTTTCTCAGCTTTATCCACCAATAATACCCCGTTAACCAACGACAAAGGTATAGAATGTCAGACGCCAAAAGACGACAACCATTTGTAAAGTTGCGGACATACACCCGTACCCCTAGTCCGTACAGTACGCACATGCTCACCCCATCTGATAAAAATACCTCTCTCCGAACATCCTAGGTATTGAGCTTTGCACCCTGGCGACGTAAGTACATACACCACCGGGCTAGTCCTCCGGGCATCCAAGTCAATTGACAACAGAAGCGACTTAAACTTACTAACCCAGCGGATCTCATCCAAAAGGGAGAGCGCAACCATAAGCAAAGTAGCACAAACATCATACGACGACCTGAGACGCGCAAATGCACCTGACAACCAAGCCGAGCACCGTAGACGCAGGTGAACGACCAAATTTGCCCACAACCGTAATCGAAAACAATCAAACAATCATTTGCATGGCGTCCTCTCGTCTTCCTCACTTACCGCTGGTGAAGGGGAAGGAACGAAGACAAAACCTTCATAAGCAAGTTTCGTCCTGGCTTAAATGATCCGCTCGATAGTGGGGCTTTTGGTCGTGTAAGTTTTCCATTCAGTTCGGCAGACATGTTTCAACAGATCCTTGGTCTTCTGGGTAAGAATCCGGCGCTGTGCTTGCACGAACCCCAGTACACCCTCGGGACCATTGCCAGCACATACCTTGGTACGTGATCCCTTTTCAGCCATGCGAGAGGATTCCCCTGTTTCAAAATCATCAGTTGCTTCACGTTGGAAATTCGATTGTCTAAAAGGCTTCCGCATCCCTTCCTCTAATGGGATCTTACCCTTTTGTTTCTTCTCCCGCAATTCATACAGTTTTGCAATCTCATCCTCGATCTCTTCCAACCCTTTATCCGCATACTTCTTGAGCCCCGTATCTCTGTAAACTGGTACAAGTGTACGAGTGACCCTCACTTCATCTCTCCTCGCCTCCTCCCGAGCTTCCAGAAACCGTCACCCAATTTTAAACATGACCCTCGCTTCTACCGCCTCCGAGTTCCTCTCGATCTCCAATCTAATCATCTCATCCATCTTCCTCTTCTCCTCGAACTCCCTCTTCTTCGCTTGTTCCTCCCTCTTCTCTTGGATGAGCTGACGTAACAACTCCTTCTCCTCAGCATCCTCATTATAGTTCCGTCGGGGCGTCCAATATCGCGCCGGTGTAGTAGCATTACTAACGTCATTCCCATCCCCATGAGCAGCTGTCGATCGGTTCGAAGGGCACTCACGTGCAAAGTGGCCTTCTCCACCACAGTTGAAGCATTTGGAACCCTGCGCAGCCATTGGAACTTCACCGAAGCTAACACCGCCCAGCAATACGTTCCCAAAGATAGATAACCGACCTGACGACAGAAAGCGAGACTATACCCAGAACTGAAGAGCGAAGTAGGGAGACGATAAACAATAGAAGGAAAGAAACAGGTCCGGATCGAATGTATCGAACCTATTAGAATAACAATCATAACCTTATTCTTATCTCAATATTATAAACCCTTAAAAATCTAGTCCCGCCTTACGAAGAACCTAATCGCATTTGACTCATCATCGAAATAAACGATAACCCAGATCAATACATCTTCCTCTTGGAACCAAAAAGTGCAGCATATGAGGACATGCTCCATATCCAACATACGTAAACTATTGAACGTGGCCACCACCCAATGTACAACTTCACTGGAGGTTGTGACAGTAATCAAAAAGTGAAGACTGCCCGACATAGACAGAATAAGCATGAGGACGACATCTAAATATACTCCAGCAGAAAACGAGTCGTCACACACATCAATCAGGAGAAAAGATTCTTAGCAAAATCACGATACAAACACCATCACGCGGCCAACCCTCGAAGCGTTTCGTCTATCCCGCGTATATAGACTCTTCAAGAGGAAAACCCCTCAAATTAGATCTCCCAAAAACCTGAGGCCATTCCAATTCCCTTGCCTCTTTTATACTATCATACCCCCTGTCGCTCGTTGATGCCTATTAAACGTAGATCGCCCAACCGTAGTTTATTAGGCATCATTGCCACAAAAAATAAAATCCCCATCCTAGATAACATAACTACTGTCGAAATCCCGTTAACATTATCGTACATCTAGTGTGGTGGCAACCCATGCCTCACGATAGTTGCTTGAACAACACAAATGTCCGAGAAGTCATGCATGTCGGCAACAGACATCGCCCACCGCTGGAAGACCTCCACACAGGCAAACATAAAAAAAAAAAAACACATAGAGAGAACACAAGCAGACGAAAACGATACTCCTCACTCCCTCTCTCTCGAAGTCGAAGCACTCCGTCCTGGCCGCACAACGAAAGCCTCCTCGTACCTGAATGGACCAGGGTGTCACAAGCACCAGAGATGGTGGAAGGAAAACTGCCGACGGGAGACCCGGTCAGATCTCGGAGCCTCGACATCGCCTGCGCATAACGCAACCGTCTCGGCACGATCTCAAAAGCACAATGAGAGGCAGACGCCGCAGTGAATGACACTTAAATCTCCGCCTGGTAAAGTAGAAGCCCTTGTAACCGTACTCACGTTGGGCCTAGGGGAGGCCCATTGGTGGCCATAAGGGAATCTGGCATCTGTCAGATCGATCAGTAAAGTCATCCCAGCCTTGGAAAAGGCCAAGAAACCCAACGTACCCTATTATATGAGACATCCGTAGCGGCGCAACCCGCAAAACAATGTGACATCCTTCCGTAGGCACGGAGGTGCCTCTCGAAAAACAAGAGGCCTTCGCATCCTGCTAGCTGAATCATCATAAACGGGTAATCAGATTACGACCCTACCAAAAACTAGAAGCAAGCGTCATAGTCGTTCCTTGGTAAGCCTACCAAGCCCTAGCTAAAACACAGGCTTCAATCACCTCTAAGCAATCACCACCTAATTTCCTGCCAAAACGCCAGAAAGTGGAATCGACAAGGCGGGTCAGGTAGGAGCGCATGACTAACTCTCTCCTGATTGCAAGTAGCAACTCATGGCACCCCTAGTAATCGGGTGTCAATGCAAAAACTTTGTGGAGGGTACTCAAAATTGCCCCGATTTTGACCTTCTTACCCGAATAGGAGCCATAGTCCCGAAAACAACCAAACACCAAACGCCCCTCATGCCAAATAAAAGGCATATTCTTAGAAATTGCGACTGTCCTCATTGAAGTCCCAACCTGATGAATGTGCACCCCTGCAAAGGAGAAAATATCCTGCGACACATCCGTTCGGACGAGACGCAAAACCGACGCGTAACACTGGGCAAAACGATGAAGTAAAAGGCACGCCCTCTATTCATCACAGTCGGAAGTGACTGCTATGAATACTGTAACATCATCAACTATCTGGAAACCTTCGAAGAGGGCCTGATTAGCACCCAAGCTATTCAAAAACTTAAACTCGGCGAAGGAGCATATAATACAAGCAAGAGGGCAGCTCAAAGCTTTCCCCATAGGTACGCCAATCACCTGCGACGCCGGCACATTTTTTCGCCAAACAAACCTCAGCTTTCGTTTGAGTAGATTACGCACAGATTCAGGAAAAACCGAGAATTCAAGAACTTTCAGCATCAAAGAGTGCACAATAGAGGACGATACACAATGATCATAAAAGAGCCGTACGAGAATCCTTCTCCTAACATCGATACCTATCCGAAGTTTAAGACCACTAGCCGAAATGCCTCGGTGGCGTATACAGGTATGTTGGTATTCGTGGATCATTTCTCAAAATGGATCGAGGCATATCCATGCAAAATGCGACAGGCGTCCGAAATCGCGCGATATGTCAACCGTTTTTTCGGGATGCACCAAGACACAGAAGAGATCCTAACGGACAATGAGGCAGAATTTAGAGAGGAAGTCTTGGGGAATTTAGTCCTACACGGTGTCTCTATCCGCAATACCGCTCCCCACATGTCGCAATCTAACGGACTGGTAGAAAATGCCAATCGAGTGAAGCCGAAAAACAGCGCACCGCCTGAAACCATCGGACCAAACAATCAATATTTCTGAACCTAAGGAATTTCCGAGTCCAGGGTTGTGCCAGCAGACGTGCCTACCAGTAGGGGTCAGCCGTACCGAACCAATATGCCATTCGCCCCCCAGTTGGAACTCCTGCTTTAGATCTTTAAGAAGAAAACATTGGTTGCCAACAAAAATTGTAGTTAGGCTGAAAATTCGACGTACCACAGACCAAGCATCCGTCCAACGATTGCCGGGTGCAACATGAATCGTCAAATGCTTAAGGCCAGAACTATAAGCCCTTCTCAACAGATTAATCAAACTAATTATCAAGTCGCCATCATGAACTGGAAACATCAAAACAGAGAAAACAACCGGTCGTAGTTCCAAGCCCACCCTCTTGGTACGGCAGGGTTTACTAAAAGGTCTAGCCTGTCGCAATACCCACCGATAGCTAAGCGAAGACGAGAAATTTCTAATCAAAAGTTTCTCAGCTTTATCCACTGATAATACCCCGTTAACCAACGACAAAGGTATATAATGCCAGGCGCCAAAAGACGACAACTATTTGTAAAGTTGTGGACATACACCCGTACCCCTAGTCCGTACATTACGCACATGCTCACCCCATCYGATAAAAATACCTCTCTTCGAACATCCTATATATTGAGCTTTGCACCAGGGCGACRTAAGTACATACACCACYGGGCCAGTCCTCCAGGCATCCCAGYYAATTGAYAACAGAAGCGACTTAAACTTACTAACCCAGCGGATCTCATCCAAAAGGGAGAGCGTGACCATAAGCAAAGTAGCACAAACATYATACGACGACCTGAGACGCGCAGGGGCACCTGACAACCAAGTCGAGCAACGTAGACGCATGTAAACGATCAAATTTGCCCACAACCGTAATCAGGAACAATCAAACAATCATTTGCACGGYGTCCTCTWGTCTTCCTGACTTACCACTGGTGAAGGGGAAGRAAMGAAGACAAAACCTTCATAAGCAAGTTTCGTCCTGGCTTCAATGATCCGCTCGATAGTGGGGCCTTTGGTTGTGTAAGTTATCCCTTCAGTTCGGCAGACATGTTTCAAATGATCCTTGGTCTTCGGGGTAAGAATCCGGCGCTGTGCTTGCACAAACGCTTGTACACCCTCGGGACCATTGCTAACACATACCTTGGTACGTGATCGCTCTTCAACCATGTGAGAGGATTCCCCTGTTTCAAAATCATCAGTTGCTTCACGTTGGAAATTCGGTTGTCGAAAATGCTTCTGCATCGCTTGTTCTAATGGGACCTTACCCTTCCGTTTCTTCTCCCGCAATTCATACAGTTTTGCATCTCATCCTCGATCTCTTCCAACCCTTTATCCGCATACTCCTTGAAACCCGTATGTCGGTAAACTGGTACTGGTGTACGAGTGACCCTCACTTCATCTCTCCTCACCTCCTCCCGAGCTTCTAGAAACTGTCGCCCAATTTTGGACAAGACCCTTGTTTCTACCGCCTCAGAGTTCCTCTCGATCTCCAATCTAATCATCTCATCCATCTTCCTCTTCTCCTCAAACTCCCTCTTCTTCGCTTGTTCCTTCCTCTTCTCTTGGATGAGCTGACGTAAGAACTCCTTCTCCTCAGCATCCTCATTATAGTTCCGCCAGGGCGTCCAATAGCGCGCCGGTGTAGTAGCATTACTAACGCCATTCCCACCCCTAGGAGCAACAGTCGATTGGTTCGAAGGGCACTCACGTGCAAAATGGCCTTCGCCACCACAGTTGAAGCATTTGGAACCCTGCGCAACCATTGGAGTTGTACCGAAGCTAACACCGCCCAGCAATACGTTCCCAAAGATAGATTACCAACCTGACGACAGAAAAGGAGACTATACCCAGAACTGAAGAGCGTCGTAGGGAGACGATAAACAATAGAAGGAAAGAAACAGGTCCGGATCGAATGTATCGACCCTATCAGAACATGCTCCATATCCAGCATACGTAAACTATTGAACGTGGCCACCACCCAATGTACAACTTCGCTGGAGGTTGTCACGGGAATCGAAAAGTGAAGACTACTCGGCATATACAGCATAAGCATTAGGACAACATCTGAATATACTCCAACAGAAAACGAGTTGTCACACACACCAATCAGGAGAAAAAATTCTCAGCAAAATCACGATACAAAAGCCATCACGCGGCCAACCCTCGATGCGTTTCGTCTATCCCGCGTATATAGACTCTTCAGGAGGAAAACCCCTCTAATCAGATCTCCCAAAAACCTGAGGCCATTCCAATTGCCTTGCCTTTTTTATACTATCCTACCCCCCGTCGCTCGCTGATGCATATTAAACGTAGATCGCCCAACCCTAGTTTATTAGACACCATTGCCACAAAAAATAAAATCCCCATTCTAGATAACATAACTATGGTCAAAATCCCGTTAACACTATCGTAAATCGAGTGTGGCGGCAACCCATGCCTCACGATAGTAACCTGAACAACACACATGTCCGGGAAGTCATGCATGTCGACAACAGATATCGCCCACCGCTGGAAGACCTGCACACAGGCAAACACACTAAAAAAAACACACAGAGAAAACACAAGCAGACAAAACCGGTACTTCTCGCTCCCTCTCTCTCGAAGTCGGAGCAGTCCGTCCTGGCCGCACAACGAAAGCCTCCTTGTACCCGAATGGACCAGGGTGTCACAAGCACCAGAGATGGCAGAAGGAAAACTGCAGACGGGAGACCCAGTCAGATCTCGGAGCATCGACGTCGCCTGCGCATAACACAACCGTCTCGGCACAATCTCAAAAGCACAATGAGAGGCAGATGTCACAGTGAATGGCACTTAAACCTCCCGCAGGTAAAGTAGAAACCCTTGTAACCGTTCGCAGGTTGGGCCTAGGGGAGGCCTAGTGGTGGCCATAAGGGAATCTGGCATTTGTCAGATCGATCAGTAAAGTCATCCCAGCCTTGGAAAAGGCCAAGAAACCCAACGTACCCTATTATCTGAGACATTCGTAGAGGCGCAACCCGCAAAAAATTGTGACATCCTTCCGAAGGCGCGGAGGTGCCTCTCGAAAAACAAGAGGCCTTCGCATCCTGCTAGCTGAGTCATCAGAAACGGGTAATCAGACTACGACCCTACCAAAAACAAGAAGCAAGCGTCATAGCCGTTGTTTGGTAAGCCTACCAAGCCCTACCTGAAGCACAGGCTTTAATCACCTCTAAGCAATCACCACTCAATTTCCTGCCAAAACTCCAGAAAGTGGAATCGACAAGGCGGGTGATTGACTTTTTTTTTTTTTTTTTTTTTTTTTTGATTGATTGAATGATTGATTGATTGATTGATTGATTGATTGATTGATTGATTGATCGATTTCTTCGATTTTTTTTTTTTTTCGTTGATTGTTGTTTGATTCATTGATTGATTGATTGATGGATTAATTGATTGATTGATTGATTGATTGATTGATTGATTAATTGATTGATTGACTGGTGGGGGAGGGGTCGTCCCACCCCGCGAATGATTGATTGATTGATTGATTGATTGATTCAATTTTGCTTGTTTTTTTATTCATTGATTGATTGATTGGTGGGGGGAGGTGTCGCCCCACCCCCCGGCCACCCACCACGAGCATGCGTGGACACACACACACACACACACACACACACACACACACACACACACACACACACACACACACACACACACACACACACACACACACACATAACAAGGGGACGAGGAGCGAGGATGGTGGGAAGAAGAGAGGAATCACCAAGCACAGGAGACAACTGGTGAAGACATTAAGAGCCGGATAGAGCAATAAATAAATAAATAAATAAATAAATAAATAATAATGATAATGAAAGATAAGCCTTGATGGAGGATTGTGCTGAATGACAACGACCGAGGAACTCAGGCGATTACTGGAGGGCGACACGGCCCAGCTGGCACACAAGCTCGTTCAGAGCCTATTGCGCCACAAGAGATGCGCGAAGGGCAACGGTTATGGGTCAGGAGCAGTCTCGTAGCTTGCAATAAACCCAAGTCCGATTTTGCGCACAACCCATGCACACAGTAATACGAATAACGAGTCATGCAGAGTAGTGACGTTTCGCTCAAATGGGCGGGACAATCAGAAGGCGTGTGATACAAATCGTATCCTCCCAATCAAGGGGAGCTGTTTCAATTTTTTTCTGCTATTGTTTTTATTTTTTGTTTTTGTTCTTTGATTGATTTGCGTAGGCCTCCCGCCTCACGTCACCAACAACGTTTGTATTGCCTACAGGCAATATCTCTCGGAAAATAACAATGACGGGGCACTATTTTCTTTTTTTTTTTCCTTTTTTTTATCTTTTTCGTACACAGGTCACCAGTAGAGATGTTTCACCCAATTGAGTAGGACAGTCGGAAGGCGTGTGATAAGGATTGATTCCCCCCAATCAGGGGGAGTTGTTTCAATTTTCTTCCATTGCTTTTGTTTTTTGTTTCTTGATTTGTGATTCTATTTTTTTTTGTGTAAGTTTTCCGCCTTACTTTACCAACAACGTTTGTATTACCCGCGGGCAATATCTCTCGGAAAGTAACGATGACGGGACACTATTTTCTTGTTTTCTTCTTTTTTCTTATTTTTTTATTTTTTCGTACACAGGTCACTAGTAGTGACGTTTCGCTCAATTGAGTAGGACAATCATAAGGCGTGTGATACAGATCGTATCCTCCCAATCAGGGGAAGTTGTCTCAAATTCTTCTCTGCTATAATTTTTGTTTTTGTTTTTTGTATGTTTTTTTTTCTATTCTTTTGCTGAAAGTCTCCCGCCTCACGTCACCAACAACGTTTGTATTGCCCGGGGGCAATATCTCTCGGAAAGTGACGATGACGGAGCACTATTTGAGCAAGTGGAACATTCCTCGGACTCCTATCATCGGATTACCGCACAGGCTTCTCGCTTGACCGTTATTCAAGATTGCGGACCGAACGGCGATAGACACTCCAGTCGATAAAAGATCAGGTAGACGGTGTTTTTTGAGCCCTGTACCGGGACGTCGGTGCTTCACGGTCGCTTCCGCCATGGATTACCAGGTGGATCAGGAATTGTTGGATCAAATGATCGATGACGAAGAAGATAGGGTTTAGGGTTTAAGCTTACTCGCCATCACCCCCAAATTTCCCTGGGTGTCTTGATCATTTATGATGCACCACGCGTGCGCCACGAGGCTGCACGATCCGCTTGCGGTAATATTATATACTATGAATCGCTAGAGTAGGTCCTTAATGTCCTGCAGGTTATCCCAGACAAATTTGCGTACCCCTGGTTGTACTTCCGTCTCATCCTTGTACCTTGCGCCCTTAATGGGGTTATCATCTATATACGGTTTGCATTTCTCAGGAAACATCTCCTCTGCGACAGTGAGCATCCTCCTTTGCGTCTCCGCTACTGCATTTGTGAATCCCATAGGGGTCACTTGCATCTGCAGCTGCCCTACCGGGCTGTGCATT